GCTGCCCCCATGCTGCGTGGGGGGCTCGGCCTCGGCCCCCCCACCCCGGTGGCTGCTCCGGCCCTTTGAGAAAAAAAACAAGAAAAACCCTGGGACTTGCAGCTCCTGCAGCGGCCTTGTGGCTTTGCAGGCTTGTACAGAGCCCCCCCTTGTGGTGGGGGGCAATGGGGGGCAGCAGGGATCACCCCCTGCCAGCAGGAGTGGTGAGTCTGGGGGTTCGGTTTTTTTTCTTAAAGGGCTGGAGCCAGCCTGTGTGGGGCACCCGTGGGGGGTTTTCACAGCGTAGGGCAGTGGGGATCGCCCCCCGCCTGGCAGCACCCAGTGAGTCAGAGCTTTTTTTCCTCCAAGTGCCAGGAGCTGGGGCAGGCAGGGCAGCCATTGCCAGGCTGGGAGAGGGGTGGGGGATGGGCCTGGCCTGGCTGATTCAGCTGAATCGAATCGGGACACTGTTTTGAATCACCGAATCGAATCACTGTCCCCCGAATTGGCTGAATCCTAAGCAAATACTAGCTGCTTTGCACAGGCCTAGCAGTTACCCTTGTAGGTAGATAGATAGAAAGCCTCATCAAGAATCCACTCAAGCTGTACACATTTTTTTAAATGAGGCACGTGTGTTTAAGTGCTTTACAAAACTGGGTCACAGTCATACATACCTCACAGGAGTGAAACCCTAAGAGGCTTTGAGTAATTATGCATCATTCCTCTTCCTCCAGATTGTGGCTACCCGCTGTGCCTTGCAAGAAGCAAGAGGCCATCTACTGTGATTCTGACCTCCTATTAAAAGTCTTATTTTTCTAGACCTCACATCACAATTGGCTTGATTATGATCCATATATCTCCCCAGATCCCAGTATTTTACAGGGTCTTCTCATTTTTAATTTTGTTTGACTAATGGTTGGATTTAACTTGTGCTTCAGCTTGTTTGTTGCACTATGCAGCACCTTGAGCTCTCCGCTTGAGTGGAATGGCAAGGAGGGCCCCCTGGAAACTGCATATGGTTGTCTTGTTTTATGAATCTTTTCCCCAGCCCCAAATGCAAACTGCCATATAAGGCTGAATTAGTGGCATAGTGATAATCTCGTTTGCTGTATGTCACTCCTGATAATGAGCTTAGCAAAATAAATATTATAGTTCTTATGGTTATCTCATGAAACATTTTTTCACGCTCTTTAGAGTTGTTTTAATTATGCAGAGATGTAATACGTTCTTTAAAAAAGTAAAGGGGAAGACCCATCGGTTTTCAAATAAAAAGTGGCCTGACCTCTTACTCTTAAATCTAACCAAGGAGGTCTTTCCTTGAGCAGGTATTTATGGAAGTTGTGTTGCCACCATGATGATATTCTTCCATTTCATTATCTGGTTCTCTGTGAACCACGTATCTCCATTCATTGTGTAACTATGGGTTTTACAACCTGACTTTGTTCCCCATCCTCCCATCAATGGCAAGGGAAATGGTAAGAAACCCATGGAAGCTGATATGACATGCAGATTGAACTCTTGTCTATTTCATTGATTTTTTTTTTCTATATATTTTAAATATATTTTGCCCAAGGGTTTGGATGATCTGTGAGTTTGAACCGGTGTAATTTCTGTTCCATCTTCCAGGCAGGTGTTGAAAATACTGGACTGCATCAGACCTGCAGCTCACTGCTACATAACTCCATTCAGTAACACTTACTAATTTGACAATAAATCTTAAATAATTGTTTTGTCTGAATTTTGAGAAATATCCACTACATAATCAATTATGGGAGGGGTGGGTAATTATGTGGGCTGGAGGGCCAGTTAAGGAGTTTGGGCAAACTGTTGCAGGTCAGGAGGGTGGGGAGGGCAACTGATCCTAGCTCCAGGCCTGTCCACAACTAATGCAGTGTCCAGGAGCAGGATGGGTGGTCAAGGCCCAGAGCTGCAATCTGCTCCCCACATCTCCCTGCAATGGGCACCGTTTCAGGCAGGGATGTACGTGGAGTAGATCGTAGCTCTGCCCTGGCCTTGCACTGTCACTGCTCTGTGATCCTGGTCCTGGCCCCACCCCTGTCTATCTTCCTCCCCTGCCACTCCCTGCCTGCCCACAGCCCCATCCCATCTGCCTGGCTGAGCACGCTCTGCCCATGAGGGTCCTGGGATGATCTCCATGGAGATCTTGCTTACCTGCCTGCCTAATGCTTACTGGACATGGTTGTGGTGTCTTTGGGTCTTCTAGAGAACATTAGGATGATTGCATGGCAAAGGCATTCTCATGCCAATGATCATAGGTTTTCTTTGTTTTAATACAATCCCCTGGAGACAAAGCATCTGACAGTAACAACGTTATAGTTATTTATGCATTATATTCTCAGCAGAACTTTAAATATGGCTCTTGCTTTACCACGCAGAGTCAGCTCACGTAAATTACCAAACTGTGACTAAATTTTGTAGCTGT